ATTTTGAAAATGTGGAACAGACTTCAATATGATCTTACCTGTCCCTTTAAATGGTGCAAAAAAGGAAAAATATATGTAAAATGGAATAAGTTGATTGCTCTCAGAAATAAAGAGTAATGCTAGTCTCATAATAAAAAAAATATTTGTAAGACTTAAATGTTATTTCATTACAGAATCACAGGCCAAAGAGTGTTAATAAAGGAGTAGTGGATAGATACTTTGGTTTTGATTAAGCAGACCTAATCTAGTATGTACTGTATTGTAAAGCTCAAGAAACATCACTTGCTTTTAGGAATATGGAAACTGGCTAATTCTTTGGAAAAGACTCTTTATGTTACAAAAAAGTGATAGAACTGAAGAACAAGCATTATTTCAAATCTCCCCTGCATGGTGGCTCGAGAGCTGAGAACCACAAGGGGGAGATATTCATCAAGGCAGGTCTGTTTGACATTTCTAAAATGGATGATGCATCTTTTCTGTTTGGTATTCAGAAATCATATTTTTACAGCATTCTTTCATCTTTCATCTTAGAAAGAAATATAATAAATACACTGCTCATTTACCCTAGTACAATTTCTACCTAAACTATACATTTCAAATTCCAAATTAAATTCACCATTTGACCAAGTAAACATGGAAAACATTAAAAAGTAAACAGATTTTCGAAGTGAACGGAATATAAAATTGATTAAGTACGGTAAAGTTTTGCTTTGCAGTCATTTGTATGAGAGGCCACATGTTGACTTTCTAAGCACCTGAAATAATTTTTATTTTTTTGAAACCACTTTTGAACTCTCTACTGTACATTCTTGCTTAAAATGGCTCAATTTTAACTCTCCAAGTAAAGCAAATGTTTAACTTCTGAGGCAATGCTCTTTCTGACATATTGTATTATTCTGATAACTAATTATTACTACAGATTCAAACTGTGTGTTTAAGACCAGAGACTTTTTGACTGAGCAAAGCTTCCCTGCTATTTTCTAATGATGCTCAAAGTTGAATGAAAAAGTTATTACTACTGAGTTACTGGAAGCCTAATCTACTTTTTTAACTTTAGTCATATACAAGCCAAGTTACATTACAATCCATCCACAGTTCTATATTGTTTCAAGCTTGATTGATTGTTCAGTTTTTGGAAAAATCTTATCAATACTTAAAGCATTGGTTAAGCTTTAATGACATGGAAGCCAAATTACAGAAGTATATTAAGATCTCTTTGTTCTTACATTTAATATAGCCCATTCTGGTATTACTGTTTGGCTTTTAGAAGTTTCTCTTAGGTATATGGAAAGTCATTAATGCAGATTAAATTAATTAATGCTCTTTAATGTGCGATACCTCACTTTATGACGTTATATGTAATGACCAGTACACAGCCAGTGCTGTGGTTGAATTTTGAGTTTTGCCTGCAAAAACGAGACCACAAGATGCTTTCAGATGTCCTTCTGATAACAAGGAAAGCTCTTGAATCAGGAACTGCACTGTGAGATTCAGTATACTGTAATAAACACCAATTACAATTTGTATATTATGTTTGTTGTTAATTTAAAAATATTCATATTTTTATTGGCAGGCTTACATTGTAATATTTCTTTTTTATTATAACTCTTAACCTTTGTAATTGGAGACTTTAACCAGACTGCATTTCTCACAAAACAACAGCCAGAATTAATTCCTTCATTCACGGACTGTAGCCAAGCATTTTTAGGAAAAAAAATACGCTTCTCCATTCCTCATCAATCAAGTGAGCTTATATTTCTCAGCTGAGTGCTTGTGATGTGGCCAAATACCATCTTGACACTAAAGCTCCTTAAATTGTTAACAGTTTTTCCCTCAGCATTCCCTTCTCAGACATCCAAAAAAGTATTTCAAGATACTGCCTGTGCTTAACGGCACCGGCGTAAAAAACAAACATTTGGAGTTTGGCAAGTAAAATCATACATTTTCCAGGAGAAATTTCCAGTGAATAAATAGGGTACTGGATGACTTTAATTTGATTTTCTGTACTTTTGTACAAATGCAAGGTTTAGGATGACCCAAAAACAAATAGTCCTCTTTGATATGCACTGATGATCTCAATGTCAGCTTTTCCCTTTACAATATGTACAGTACGTTTTAGAAAGACAGAAATTACCATAATAAGCATCAGATTTTAAAAGCAGTACTTCCTTAAGCCTTTCATTCAGACTACTACCCCCTCTCAAAGTTTCTGCATGTAAATATAGTGAGAGAGGGCCCATGTAAAATAGCCAGAATAGCACCAACTGAGACAAAACATGCATGAGCACAGGGCCCTTTTTGATCTGGTACTTTGTTGTCATGACAGTCCACACCCCTGCTCACCAGAACCTGAACAGACAAGCAGATTTTCAAGGAGGGGTAAGTTGGTTCTCAATTTCAGCTACTGCCAAGCTACTGCCAAGCTATACCTGCCACAGCTGCTGTATTAAGCCAAACTCTGAAAAATCATGCCAAAAAAAGCAGCTGTTTTGAAAGTAAGCCTTTGTATTACAAAGCATGTTATTATCCTCCCATAGGCAGATCATGGGAGTGACAATGCACTGAATGTTGAAAAAGAAGTCTCTTTTAAATTGACAGATATAGACTAGCAGATATTTTAGATTGTTTATATATTAAAATATTAAAAATTACTTTTGTTACCAAATTAATATTGTTAGAGATACTCTAAATCCAGAACAAGATGGAAGATTCTTCCTTTAAAAGGGACATTTTGCAAGACAAAGACTGCAGAGTTCTTGTTAAACTGGTTTACCAAGATGTATCTATACATAATCCAATTACATAGCTTTCACTGGACATTCTAGACAGTCCTCAAAATTAAATCATACCTGTTTTTTTTTTCTAAAGGGAATTCACACGAGGCATGATTTACATTATCAAAGGCTGAGTTTGAGTTGTAAGGGACTTTGTGTTTTTTACCTATGATTATAATTGCCATCATGGCTCATGTTAAACACAAAATTTAAATCACAGATCTTTTTATTGTTATGATCTCCAATCACTTTTCGATTTTGTAAAACAACAACAACATTTTGAGGAAACATAAATGTTTAAAATTACACTACTTTTTTTACCCAACAAATAACTTCAAAATGAAAATTGAAGTGCTTAGAATAATGACGACTCCCACACAAATTTGCATCTTAATAGTTTCTGTACATTACTTTTGTAATTTTTGATCTCCAAATTTATATCTAATACAGCTTTTCTGTTTTCTGAACTTTTCAGAAGCACTGCTCAGATGGCAACCAAAAAAATTCAATATTTGGCATGGGTTTTGACCCTTCATGAGAATTTTCACAGGAATGCAGCTGTAATGAAGCTTTGTTTACTAAACCTTAAACACCGCAGTGCATCTCTTTCAGTTAATGCAGTCCTTCAGTTTCAGGGCTGCAGCAGTTTGTTACCAAGAACTTCTGAAGCCCTCAAAGTGACTAAACTGGCTATTCTTTCTCTTAATGTCTCCACAGGCTGACCAAGGCCACTTTAGTTAATCTCTTTAAGTCATTTAACAAACTGAGCTGTTGAGTTAGTTTAGCACTCCATTCACTGCAGGTGAGACCCCTCTATCAGACTTTAGAGGGTACAGTTATAGGCTTAGCAAAGGGAAGAGGAAAAGTCTGAAATCTATGAAGCTTTTAATACATTTGAGGAGCTCTAACACATAATGGAGCCCACCCAGCTCCCTCTAATGGAGCAAAACGCTCAGAGCCAGCTGTCTCACAGTGGAGGTGGCAGCCGAAGGGGCAGACAAATGAAAGAGCCATTGACAGGGAATTCCTGAACCAGAGGGAGGGTAAAAACTGCCAAGTCCATTTGTCAGTGAGGAAAAGCACAAAAACTACATTAAAAGGATAAAGAGCGTTTGTGATACCGTGTTTCAAGATTTTATTAAATATCAGTTCTTTTTCTTCCTTTTGGGGAAAAAAATCCTATTCACTACCTAAAAACCTGTAGTCCCTTCTACTCTTTACCAGCTGCACTAGCCACCCATTTCAGTTTGATCATACTTAATTCTATTAAAAGAAAACATTCCACCACTTGTCTGCATTTCTCCTTGAAAAGGTTGCAGCTGTATAAACCCAGAGGACTGCAGCCAGGAAAGACAGGCACCAGAAAAAGTTTCTTCGATGAGGTATGATGTGATTATGCATGGCCGGCTGCCTTACGTTTTCATCTTTTCAGCCCCCTGTATTCATCATTTTTATGGATGAACAAAAAAAAAAACTTCCTGCATTGATATACTGTATATTAAAAATCACAGGCTGAAATTCTAATGATGCTAGCCTCTCCTCTTCAGCACAAATACAAAGCACAACCTTTCCTGGTAAGATATCTGGTACTGAACAGCAGCACGAGACAGTCCATTCAGGTGCTCCTTAAGCATTACTACATGTTAGCTGTAAATGGGAAACAGGTCTTGATCTGAAAAAAACATTTCTAACAGCAGCACTCAAGGCTCATGAACTTCTAAACATCTGTAACTAACAAAAACATTGACCACCATTCTTGCTAAATGTAAAATTTAACAAGTGGTGAAAAAGTCTGACTTTAGCATGGAAGCAGCCATAGTCTTCACAGAAATGTCTTAATTTTCAGATCTTTCAGCTTCAAGCAGCAATAATAAATCACATCACACTTGCTATTATTGAAATAAAAAATCTGAAAATCCACTAATTCCAACAAGAAGCACCCACTGCTCCATTTTGTTCGTAGCATGAGTATTCACAAAGCAATTCGACTGTAGTGTACAGTACCAGGTATCTGGCACATTCACATCTGGATGAAAAAAATTCCTTATTCACGTAAGACTTAGATTGCATATAGCTCATTTACTCGTGGTGATAAGTTAGTTGCAAACTGCTCAGATCTCATTGTGTTCTTTCCCCAAGATAAAACAAATCTGTTAGCATTTGAAGAAGGATCAAGAAGTTTAATAATTTCCTTGTTTTTCTGAAAAATGAATAAGGGTTTCTTACCTTCACCCATTGGAACTTCATATGGAGCACTAAGGGAGCCTTCAGGCATGGCACTGGGGGCCTCAGGGACTGCAAAATCAAAGAGATGAAAGTGAACTTAGTAAGAGATTAAGCACTGTCAATATCATCATCTCACTACCTCACATTGTGGCTTCAGGCCAAATGATCCATCAGATCTTCCTTAAATGTTACCACTCAGACATCATCTTAACTGTCCAGTTATCAACATTAAGTGAGCAACTCTTTTTTTTCCCCATACTGTATAGTAATGCAAAGCCTTTTTTTCACATTTTATAAAACGAGAAATGTATTTTATAAGCCGCTGTCACTTAAAAAGCACTTGAACATTTGTGTTTGGGCTGCCAGTCATTCTTATATAAACGGAAGGGATTCAACAAAAAATTAAATAATAAAAAGCTGTTTAAGAAATGATTATTTCTTAATCTATAAAAAACTCCAGTCTTTGTCAGACCTTCTATGCCAATTTACCATGAAAAAATGTTTATGGACTGTATAAAAGAAGCCATATAGTGATAGCCTCTGGATTTTAAACTGATTAATTTACATTTCTATAGAGTGTTGCTCTTCAATACATTCCAGTATTGCAAAGGGGGTGAAATGAACACATGGCTCATCCAGGTTTGGTTTTCAGCCCTTGCACACAATCTTGTACATATACCACACAACAGCAAGACCATGGAAACAAATGGGAAGAGAACAGAAGCAGGAAGCAGTCATAAGTAATCAATCAGATGAAGAAAAACGGTTTCTTCTTTCTCCATTGCACACTTTTCAAAAGAGGGACTGAAAGAATTTCTAAACTCATAGGACATGTCAAGATCTCACTGAACCCCCTATCTCATGGTAAAGAAATAGAAACCTGGGTTGAGTATTCCCATCACCACCCCAGATAACACTTAAATGTTTCCAGACATGTGACAAAAAAACAAATCACTTTCACAAATAAAAAACAATATAATGACCTTCCCGATTTAAATTTTTGGTTATTTGTCTGGATCTCCTTTTTTCAGTAATGCGATTACTGTATACTGTGTACCATAAACCACACCATGTAGCAGGCAATTAGTATCAACATTCAAGAATTCAAGTAATGACCATGGAGCAATTTTTTGTGTTCTCTGCAATGAAACATTGATTATGATTTTTAAGTGCTCACCATGCAGTGAATCAGCATATAGTCAGCTGCAATAAAAAAACCTGACATAAGGCTCAGACTCTATTCAGACATAGGAATTTCAGAGATAAGGCTGGGGTAGATATAAATGTAAAACTTCCTAATGAGAACACAGAACCCTATCAGGGACATATAGAAATATCAGGACATACTGTATAAGGGATAAATAAAAGTATTATATATGAATTAAGTTTTTTTAATAAACCAGAAATAGAACAAAATAAAATATAGCTTTTCCACTTAATGTGACCATAAATTAGGAGCTTTCATTTGTATAGCACAGGCATTCACTAAAAACTGCATAATTTCTAAAACATACCTGTATTTAAGAGTTAATCTGTTATTTCCCCAATCACACACCACAATCCTTTTGGTTCAGATATCTGCTCCCACTCAGAGGTCACGTAATTAAATACTGTCAATCTCTCCAGGTTATGCTGAAACAACCAATCCAACCAAATATTTCTTCCATTTCTTTTACTTCTCATTGATCTGTCTAGGCAAGATGTTTGGCAGTCTGTCCAGTCTCTCAGGGTGGACAACACCACTGGTGACGTCAGGCCTTCATCTGGGCAGCACCGTCCCCAATTTCTCACAGAGATCTCATTCCGAGAGAATCTGATTTTCCACGTGCTCTTGGCTTGTGCAGCTCCGTTTGTTTTTCTTTCATTTTATTTCCCTTGGATAGCCTCGGAGAGACCAGGGTTAGGAACTAATGCTGAACCTGCTTCCTCTCCTCCTAATTTCCTCAGCCACCTTTTATTTTATGGCTGCAATTAGAAGAGCAGGGGCCAGGAATCTACGTAATCAAATCCCCCCACTAAACTCACACTGAACTCACAGTTAGCAAAGTTCCTATTCTCAAATGAATTCGTTGGCCATCAATCTGTAATTTGCTGGTTATGAGCCAGGCAGTTACAAGGACAGAACATTTCACTTATACAGTTAAAAAACAAACCTGGGACTTCACTTCTTTTTTGTTCCCACAGCTAAATGGTTTTTATGTGCTTTTTTAATCTAGATAAGGTTATTAAAACAAAGACCTTTAAGTCACTAATCAGGAAGTCAGGTAGAGAAACCTCACATAGCATCAAAATTATGAAAGAACTGTAGTCATATAAAACTTTAGTAACAATAATAGCAATATTCATCAGAAACTATAACTGTTCTTTAGGAAAAGGCGGAACTCAACAGTACACCATGTCCAAATTCATGTATAATTACACTGGAATTACAGTATCTTCCAGTGTGTTACCACAACAATTAAAGGTTTAAAGGGAGACTGAGGCAAAAAGAGGCTAATTTAGATTTTATTTATCTCAGATCAACACTGGTATGATTCTCCGTTTCTAATATTTTGGTATTCCTACCCCAGACCTTTCAAAAGAAGATGTGTATGAACCGCACAGGTGTGACAAAGGTGAACAAATAAACACATACTGTACAGCACTAAATCTAAGGAGAAGACTATGTGGGGCTATAACAGCTGTGGGAATCCATAACATATTACAGCATAAAAACATTTGATCAAGTAACCAATCTGGATGGCAAATCTCTGGAGACCAATCGTCCTGAGTTAGTAAATGCCATACATTATCACAGATAGCACAGAATTTCAAAAGAAGCTGATCCTTGTGTTCACATGAATCCTATAAACTAAAACCTTGCTTAAATTAAAATCTGATGACATTTTGCATTTCCCAGTAAATGTCAAAACCAGACAGTAATGCCTCAAATGATCTGTAACGGACAAGAAGAAAATATCCATAACTCCTTAAGAAGTTACACTACAAGGGTATTTTATAGCAAACATCAAAAAACAAAACTCACTGAATTTATGCTTCAGCCTGCAAAGCACAGCTCAAGAAACAATTTCATGCTTAGGACCAGGTCTCAGTAAAGAAAATTAAGTGTTAATGATGATGGTAATCAATATGCAGTATGAAGGCAATGTTATTTATTTTCACTTCCGGCTCTGCCTTAAGCAATTAATTTTGTTTATGCTGTTGACTGAAAAAGACAGGACGGTAATCACTATACTAGATCGGAATAAATGGATCAATTACACATCTAGAATTTCGGCTGGTCTGGAATCTTATCAGTTCGAAAGGGAAATTCTTGCCATTCCCAGGAACAATGCTGTTCAGTATTCCGTGTTAGCTCGTGCCAGTCTCTTGCTAACATATGGGCTTCCAGCTGATATCGAAGAGGTCTGTGAAACTGTTCCCTGCATTCCGACAATAGCCACAAAGCTGCACTGTGCAATGGGAATTAAACACCCAATTGAGCTACGACAGTGTGCTCGGGGCTCGTTCACTGACACAACACACATATGATCTGAGATTAACACAAAGTTTTGGCATCGTGTGCTATACAATCAGTTCCACACATCTTCCCAATAAATGCACATTCTTTTCCAAACTGAAGAAATAATTTCACTCTTGCCTATTGTTCTATTTCAAACTGCCTCACCATTTAAATACTCTGTTAACTATGTCACATTATGAAGTTTTTTTCTGTAGCCCTTTTTTTTTCTATTGCAGAGTACAGGAGTTTAAGAGTTTGCTTGTTAAAGACAACGAAACAAAATTAAATAGACCTTTACTGTCTGACGTTTTTGCCATTCTCTGCTGCTCATATGATGAAAAGAAAGTGCAATACCCCAATCAAGCTCCATAGCAGAGCCGTAGTTTTAAAACACAATCAACAACAAATCTGAAAAGACTCCAGCTTCACCATGCTCAATGCTACATGAAATAATGTCTTTGGACATCTGGAGACTTTTTTCTCAATGAGGTCAGAAGAGTCAAATTCCTTTGGGATTAAGTATTATTCAAATGATTATGCTAAGACACTGCACTGTACTGGCACTTCAGTACTATGCCAAAATGACAAATACTGGGGGAGCTTTAGTTAAAATGATTGGCAACATTTTCAACCTCAAAAAGTGGCAAAATTATGGAACCTAGATTAATGATTAATTGTAGATTCCTGGTCTAAAGGTACTTTAAATATGGAAATACTGGTAAGTACTGTTGTTGTTAATTGCCAAACCAATTTTTTATTTAGAAAACTGATAAGAGGACATTCAACCCATCTATCCCATCTGGTTACTAATTTTCCAGTCATTTCTTTAAGGGAGCATATGATATCAGCTTCAACAATATAGCTCGACAGTTTGCTTCAGACACCCACAATTCCCAGATTTAAAATGAAAGCTTTTAAGTAACACTGCCTTTTATTTCAACATGACAAATAATAATAATAATTGCTCACACTTACAGTATATAGCACTTTTTCTGGACACTCCACTCAAAGCGCTTTACAGGTAATGGGGATTCCCCTCCACCACCACCAATGTGCAGCATCCACCTGGATGATGCGACGGCAGCCATAGTGCGCCAGAACGCTCACCACACATCAGCTATCAGTGGGGAGGAGAGCAGAGTAATGTAGCCAATTCATAGAGGGGGATTATTAGGAGGCCATGATTGGTAAGGGCCAATTGGAAATTTGGCCAGGACATCGGGGTTACACCCCTACTCTTTTCGAGAAGCACCCTGGGATTTTTTAATGACCACAGAGAGTCGGTTTTACGTCTCATCCGAAGGACGGCGCCTGTTTACAGTATAGTGTCCCCATCGCTATACTGGGGCATTAGGACCCACATGGACCGCAGGGTGAGCACCCCCTTCTGGCCCCACTAACACCTCTTCCAGCAGCAACCTTAGTTTTTCCCAGGAGGTCTCCATCCAGGTACTGACCAGGCTCACACCTGCTTAGCTTCAGTGGGTTGCCAGTTGCAAGTTGCAGGGTGATATGGCTGCTGGCCATATCAAATGCCTCCATACTTTTATAAGACAAATTATACTATTTAATAGAAATGTTTTATACTGCCCATTGATTTTATTTGCAATAGCTTGTTGTTTCTTGAAACTTTAAAATATGCATTAGAGTTTTGTGCCATGTTACTGCATTTTCAAAGTGTGCACTGTCACACTTCCACTTCTGCCCTCTGGTTTGTATCAGAAACCTCAAAGAATTTCACAGCAATTCAATATTTAAGTGGGAAAAGGAGCAGATTCACAGATTTTTCCACTCAGCCATCAGTGATTCAGCTGACTGACAAAACACATACTGTAAATATTGAATGCAGTATGTACATAATATGTGTCAGCCTCACGTCAATGAAGTAATCCTCCTTCGAGCACTTGTAGCAATAAACGCCAAGTGTAAACCTTGCTAATGCAACGGAATGGGCGAGGTTCAGCTTTGCTCTATAACAGCAAAAAGCAACGCGGTTTATTCAGATCTAGTCTGCAGCCTGATTCCACAGCTCTCTCACGTTCCACAGAAGGAAGGCGGAGGGTTAAGTGACATCCCCGGATGACCACAATAAACAAACAAGCCAAGGGTGTCCATCCACAGGTCACATGACTGGCACACAGTTGAAACACAAAGCCCCCATTTTGCAAAGCTGAGATTCAGCATTTAGTAATGCTCTCCCTCACAATACAACACAGACAATGAACAATGTCCAGCAGGCCGCCCACAGCAGTAGACCCCACACAGGGTTCAGTGCAAGTCAGGGGTGATGTTTACCTTTTTCGGAAGACCAAGTGCCAGTTCCCCCAGACTGACAATGAAAAGTAAAGTTGCGGGGGAGGAGGGTATGGATAGTGCCAAAATATTCTCACTTCCCTTGACCAGAACAGTAATGACCACTGACTCAGTGAACTGTAAACAAGACACGCCCTAATTCTCTAGTTTAATTAGATATTCCTATTCTATTTTGAAAAATAATTAAGACATAAAAATCCTCTCTTACTTATTTTATCTTCTGCAAGTCTTTAAAAACATTTCAAATGAAGAATTATCCTGGCTGTCAAGAATTCAAAACACAACATATGTAAGAAATAACTGAATATTTTGTTAGTATTCTCTAGATCACCAAATCACAGAGATTCTGGAGACACCAAACAAAGTGTACAAGAACAACTGAAACTCAGAAATGGCCATTGGTTGCAACAAAACTTTAAAAAACAAAACTTGCTCAAGAAGAAATGCACAGTCTGACAATACATTTAAAAGACACAAATCTGCAAATAAAGTCTGGGCTCTATAAGTCACCAGTCTTGAAAAAACTTATTTCATTTCAAATTGAATTTTTGAATTAATTTTCAGGCTTTATTGAGAGCACAAGTGTGCAATTAAAAAAGTTTGTTTTCAAATTAAATTGGTCAGGCTGACCCATATCAAAAAAGGTGTCATTTTACAAAAGTTCCACACTATTTTTTTTCCACAGCCATCTGGCATTAATTACATAAACTTTACTGATAACATAGTACTACGTTTACTAAGGGCTGAGTTTGCCTGAATTCCCACTGTACACTTATTCCAGAAACAGATGATCCTCAGAGAAAGTAAATAACCCAAGTCATGCTAGTTTCCAGCTGGCTGTAAACCATATATTGCACTATTCTGTGAATCTCCAAAAGCTGGTGAGCTATAACAACAGTACAAGCAGCACATGCTGGCTCACTACCTAAAAACAGATCTTACAATTACAGAAAATAAATCTGAAAAATAGCTCTGCAATGTGCAGATGGAGAACAATGAATAATTAAAAATAAAAAAAACACACTTTTCAGAAGTCTTAATATCACAACGAGTCAGTACAAAAGCACCTGACTGCATGCACACACGGGCTCACACATTTAAAATTCTGTATTTCACAAGTGTCTTGTCCCAAATTTGAACTCCCTTTGGGGTAGTTGAAGCTTGTTTACCAATTGGAGACAGATGCCGCAGAAATTGTTTCTACAAAATTACTAAGAAATGACAACCAAACACTCCAACATTTTTTAAGATGATGATAATCTGTCTTTAATCTCCGTTTCCACAAAACAGGCTCTCACAGTAGTTACAAACAACAAGGCAGTAGTAATGCTGAGATATGCGAGTATCAGCACAAAATCCTTAGTCAACAAAAAGGTTTGCTTGAAGTGCTTCACTACGATTCTCTACACAAAATTCTGTCTCTGCTCCATTATGGAATTTAAAACTTCCAGAAACAAACACAAAGGAAAACAGGCAATGTACAATGCCTAACAACTAGAAAATACTGAACATAATCCTGTGTCAAAAAATCCTTATTTAATCCAACTAATTTCAGTACAATTCCAATAATCAACCACAATCCACACTCCTGAAATAAATACCTTAAGAGAGTTTAATGTTATGCCGAGCCCCTAAAAGTCCTGACCTTTACATTTTTTACATAAACACATTTTCATCTCTTTAAAGGAGTTTTTGGACTTGGCATGTTTGGCAGCTGTCTTCTGACTGTTAGTTGAAGGCTATCAAGATCTCAGCTTTGTAAAAGAAACAAAGGAACCCAAAAAAAGTGTGAGTGAAGCTTAAATCTTTCTTGGAGGGTTTCAGATAAACTTCTCTAGTTCTATATAAGGCCATAGGGAGTCACAGACAGTAAAATTGTTTACATCTGGAAGGAAGGAAATGACAAATCACCATGGGAAATTCTTCCAACTCCGATTAAGAGAAAATGGGGGAGGAGGGGGGGCTGTCACTTTCATACATTCAAGACATTTTGAAGTTAAACATGAGAAAAGTCTAAACTAAGCAACACAGGTAAATAAGAAAGCACCTAGCAATACCTGTTTTTCGTTATAATCCTCAGGCAGGAGGGTCTCAGTGGAGGGACCACGGAATGTGTGTTGCTGTGCTGAAAAAATGTGTCAAGGAAGAGCTAATATGAACAAAAAAGAAGGGGAGTTTGTTTTAAAAAAATAGTTTCTAAAGAGGTACTGTCAGAAGCAATGCTACGTGTACAACAACAGACCCTTCATGTCACAAATTACTAAAAAAATTAAAAGAAAATGCAAGTCTTACTTCCTGCAAATGAGTAGGCAATTAGAAATTCTAGGAGCTCAACATAGACTGCCTTTAAATTAAATCTGAGTTCTGTTAAGGGTTAAAATAAAAAAATAAATGATGGGGAAACCATCCAACACAAGCATAAAAATAATTACTTGTATTTTATATAGCACTTCTCATCCTAAAATATCTCAAATCTTCTTGCATATAACCACCTAGCACCCACCCAGGTGACATGCGGCAGTTATTACTGTATGTACCAGCAAGAAGTGAGAATCTGCTACAGCAGTTAAATTAAGGGGGAACATTAGTGGGGACAGTCTGGACCAAGAGTGGAATTTACCCAGGACACTGGGGTTAACATCCCAACTCTTTCAAAAATGGGATTTTTAAGAACCAAATAATCAGCAGCTCAATTTAATGTCCCACTCAAAGAACGGCATCTCCTTGATATTAGAAATTCTGGTTAAGAGGGACAGTGTGACACCTACTGGTCCACCACCACCCCTTGGAGCAGCAACTCGATTTTCACTGGGTTTGTGATATTGCAAAACTGACCAGGCCCGGCCTGGCATAGCTTCCAAGATCCAACAAGGCTACAAGATAGTAACTCAACTGCTGCCAGCACATCACACATATAATAGAGACGCCATGCTAGAAACCAAGAGCTAGAAAACAAACAGGTTTTTCAGCGGCAGTTCTAGTCCCGTTTTGACCTGCCATTCTGTAAGGCGTTTAAGAAGATGCAATGTACTGTACACAATGCATTGGCAATGATAGCTTTGTTCCTCTACAGTAACTGTGGTTCTTTATATCAACTCTGCCAGCTCATAACTAAAATCTGGGTGGGCTCCAGCAGATTAGTCTTGTTGGCTTGGCCTATACATAAAGAGAGCAATCATCTCTTAGAAACAGGCTGTGGAGATATCTGTGGAGTAATCTGTCAAGTTAGCCAACTCTCAGGACAGAAGGTAAACTCAGAAGTGTTGAGAATTAGCTAAAAATAGGCCTAGAGATTGCAGTCAGCCGCTCTGTCCCACCACCATCCTGCTACAAAGGAAGCAAGCCCTCCCACAAACCTAACCCACCAAGACCCAAGAGAGCCTGCAGGCCCTGTGGAACTCATTGCAAGTGGTAAATCTAAAAAGAGCAGCACGCTAATGTTTGTGCTAAAAAAACAAGAGACAAAAGGTCATTTTTTGTCAGTTGTAATTGCATTTTATTTTCCTCCCCCACCTTCCTTCTCCCCTCCTACGTATGATCCCTCATCATTTTTAAATAATCCCCTAATTTCCCATGTCTAGCTTCCTGTGGTTTCCCTGTGACAGAATTCACAGGAGAACTCCATTCACTTAGGGAAAAAAAAACAGAAGAGAAACCTGGGCTAGTGATTTTCTGTCCAAGCGATGATGCTGATGCTGAATGTTGAAAAGCTAGATAGGGTAAAAAAACAACTACGAGTCAATATAAGCAAGAAATCACAAAAAAACAATGGAATGAAGTTTATGTATACTGTATTGCATAACGCATTATGGCAACACCTCTAAATAAATATGGCTTACGAGTCATGAAGAAAGAAAAGCAATTCCTATGAGCTCATTTCTGGATGGTAGCCTCTCTGGTTTGCGAGCCAGCAAGTGTTGTTTTTGAGAAGCCTGTTGGGATGGCTTCATCGAGTTCTCAGGACTTTCAGGCTGCAAAAACATCATAACTCTTTCTCTGATAATGGCTTTTATAGTGTTCCATCATCAAAAAGCGCTGTAAGCTGGCACAGTCCATCAAAAGCTGCTCGGAGGAAAAATATGGAAAACATACTGACTAAAGGCTGACACTACAAAAAGAAAATCAAACACAAAACTATTAATTCATCTATTTTTTTAGGTTTAAATCAAGTTTATAGCTTTCATCATCAGTCAAGGAGTGTGCCATTCTGATAAGGAACCTTTCATGTCTGCACACCCAAAGAGCCTTATTAAGATAAACATACTATTGTGTGCCACTGCATGTTCCTCTACCACACAAATAGAAGCTCATAAGTAAACATTTCCTTCCTTACAATCGGCTAAATAAAACAGACATTTTAAGCACTACCCTCAAGGAGCATGAAGCAAATTTTGACGAGAAGGTATACAATATATAAATTACATAAAACAGGGTTGGCACCAAATGCTTAGCTCTTACCCTTTTCACATCACCCTCCACTGTTAAAAACAAACGTAGCTCTTTTATCTCAGTTCTTCCCTCAGTTATTTTGAGTTTAACATTTTGTTTGATGTGAGAGATGAAAGATCTTTCGATTCAACCACACATTTCATTGAAAGTGTGCACAAACAGCCCTGGGAGGACCTTCAAAGCAATGGATCAACATGTAACCTTCATATGTACCTTCAATCAATTCTCAATATCCAACCGTTTGAACAAACATATTTCCAGAACAGCAATCTTAATATAAACCTTAAAGCCTTGAGACGTAGACACCATCTCTCAAAACACTTATGCTGGTAAATACATTATTCTCTTGCCAGTTAGGATAACAGAAATTGATTCGTTTTGAAGGCCATTATCATAAAACGGGCCTGGAAAGCAAAAAGAATATATTCTTGGCAGACAAGGACAATAAGCCATTAGATCATCTGCAGCATTAATCTTTTCATCTGTTCCTACCATATTGGCTAAAAGAGTTTAATAGATAAGATAAAGAGCAAGTAGCTAGGCAATTAAGCACAGAAAATCCTAGAGCCAACCAGTTGAGTCTTTTGCTGCAGTAGCTAGAGTGATATGCGACATCTTGTTTAGATTACAAACAGCTGGCTTCAAACACAAACATCTCCTGAGGAAACTGATAATTTTCTAACATTTCTGGCAAATACTGGAGAACTTAAAATGCAATGAGATTATAGACGGCTTTTATGTACCAACACATTTAGAATTCTTTTCACACAAACCACCAGAAATGCAATTCCAAGCAGTTTTCTCTATTCAGTCTGTTGTATCTACCACTCTCGGGTTTAAGTTACTGTATGTGTGTCTGTAGATTTACAAATCAAACACAGAGTACTTATTAAGTGGTAAAATATTACATGCACACCTGTAGGTAATGCAGGCTTCAAATTATATTGATAATTTAAAAGTCGAATAGCTGTAAAATTCCAAATGTAGACCGATTTTGAAATCAATAGAAATACACTTCACAAGTCTCTGTCCAGCAGTGTTTTTTTTCTAAAGTACAGAAATAATACAAAACATTGGCTATATGGATGTTTACATAGGACTTACAAAAATGGAACCCTACTCTTTGATCTCTTGATATACTCATTAATACTTACAAAAACAGTATATTTTTACACTTTGATCTCTGTGTAAACAGATTAATGTATTTCTCTCTCTAAATATTGAAGTGACACGGAGAGAAAAATTCCTTATAAGGCAAGTTAAACAACCTAGACTGAGTTATTAATGTTTGAAGTTTATTCATCCCACATGAGCATAAAGTTTCATTGCACTTCAGGATAACCTTTTCCTGGATCATCAAGAAAGCCAATTCCTTCCTGCCCCATGCTCTGCACATGCCCAGAATGATATCTGTAAGAGCTGCCTGCCATGCAGAACGCTACCCATATGCATGACACACCGTGCGTGACAGAGCATTTTAAAGTTCCTTTTCACACATTAAGAACGTCTGCACTGGAATTTGAAACTAGCATTCAGGAAAGACCGCTATGTGGCTTGCAGCATGTGTTTTGTGACTCCCTTTCATTAACATAATTACTGTAGGTTTTACTGCTCTGTAACCATCATTATGGTGGCACCAACTTGCTGCCTCACTCAGATCCTTAGCCCACAGAAACACAATGAGCAGTTAAAGTGGTAGACTCAAGGTCTGAAACAAACTCCATGAATACAGCAAAAGCTCATCCTTAATAGTTTCTCACAGCTGTGTCCATTCTTAAGTGTAAAACAAAGCAACATGTAATGGGGCTAACTCTTTGTCAGATATAAATATGTTAAATATGTATTTAAAAATAATAAACAATATTATTAATATACATGAAGAATTAACAAACCTAAGAGAAAGAAACATTAAAAACATATAAAATAATAAATATATACAGACACTGCTACAGTATTCCCTTTAACCCTAACATAGGCCACAAGCAAAACTCTCAGGAACTACAGTTGTTTTTGTTCTATTGAAGCAAAGCCTCTGGAATATAGATTCCCACTGATATATTATAGTTCCTCCAACAATCTAATTCTAATGGAATCAGATCTGCAGAACAGTAAAATAAGCAGGAATCTGGTACCCAGCAGCTTTGAAAATACTGAAAAAACACTTTTAACACAGTTTGTGGATTTTGAAATCATGCTATCAATACGCTTGAAGCACCTGCACCTGTTTGGACTTCAATGTCTTGATTAGTCAACCACACATCTACTGTACACATACAAAAATATTCTTTTCGTATGCTTAAACCCCGATATTTGTTCAAAAGTCCATGAGTTCAAAATGTGCACTTCAGTGAGCAACAGAGGCTAGCACCAGGCATTCCTGAACTGCTGTCAAGCATGAATGTGTGTGAAACTCACATTAAAATTTTAAAGTATAAATGCAGGAATTCATCTCAGCTATGAACAAATTCAAGGAAAGAAAGTGCCAGTTGTTTCCTCTTGGTGACATTGGATGGACAGAGATATTTTAATCAAGATTTATTCATTTTTTTATTGCCATTACTTGGCTTTTGCATTCATACTTATTCAATTATTATTAGTGTTCTTGAAGCACAGTATAATTATACCAAATTAGAGAATTAATAATTAACACAATAGGAAAATCGGTTTTAATTGAAA